TATAAATTTATATAAAATTTATAAAACATTTATAAAGCTACATAAATTTTATAAAAAATGGACTTGCTTATAATGAACTGTATAATCATCTATTTAAGAAGCGTCTTTCTTTCTGGTTTATTTTTCTATAAACTAACTGTTTCATCGCCTATTTTTCTCGTATGTATGAATTTTTTGTATTTTATTTCTAATATGGATCTTATTAACTGATTTTGTCAAATTTAAATATTATATATCAAAAGTGACTACTATTACATATTAATAACATTTTAAAATAGTTACTTTTCTAATATTTAATATTCAAATTAATAATAAAACTATTAGCTATAAAATAAAGCCCAATTTCTTAAAAGCTAATATATTTTAAACTAAAATCTTTTTATTCAAAATCTGCTATTATATTTAAAGTTACTATAATATTTTAGTATTCAAGCATTAATCTAATTTTGATTTAATTCTGGATACTGAATCTAAATTAAAATCAGTTGAACCTAATTATGAAATTTCATAGAGTAAGATATAAAGGCTTTAACTCCACTTTTTTTAGTTTCAGGTATTTAATATACAGTTTAAGTGTTATATAATAAAATATACAAAAAAAAAAAAATTTAATATACAGTTTAAGTGTTATATAATAAAATATACAAAAAAAAAAAATTTTAATATACAGTTTAAGTGTTATATAATAAAATATACAAAAAAAAAAAATTATTTTAATATGTTACAGTTTTGTAGCAACATCTATGCCTTGAAGATATGCGATAATATGGAAGCACAAACAATAAAAATTTACGAATGAATATCAAATTTGTGATCTCATCCCATATTAGGATTCCAGAACATTATCGAATACTCAGTAATCGTATGACATTTCTATTCTCGAAATTTAAAAAACATATGTATCAGATCGTATGCAAGTCAGGTGTTCTTGAAATCGCATATGAAACGACTGAAATTCTTCCTTTGGGGCTGAACAATTCCCGAGTTAGATAGTATTCCTTCGAAGTTATAAGTTTCGAGAAGCTTCACAAGCACAGTCGAAGTCGCAATGTAAAATGTAGTTGCAAGAATAAATATGTTAAAAATCACCGCAAATGTAAGGTAAATTGCCTTGTGGAAGTAGCTGTCATCCAACAATCACGCTTGTAATAAAAAAACGTAGCTAGCATGTATATGTATTAGTTAAGTAAATTGAATTTAAATGCTTCGTTGTTTATTTTCTGATCTACATTATAAACAACCATTCAAAATCCAGTACATCGGGTGTACTATTGCTCAAGTTGGTGAATGACTTGAAATGACTCAAATGACTAGTGACCAGTCATTGGGTCATTTTCACCTCAAATGGCCATAGAAGGTCATTTAACATTTTGTTAACTGATAATCTAACGCTTTTAGCCAATTATTAAACGAAAAAGTGATTTTTATAAATATCACAGTATCGTCACGGACTAAAAGGTAGATCGTCGAAATTAGGCGTAGTAAACCCGTGATTGAGAAGCAATCAATACAAGAAATACTGGTTTATCGGTTGAGGCTTATCGGCCAAAGAAGATAAACAACTGAACACAAAAACCGAAGAACAAGTACACATAATAATAAAAAAGAAAAAGAGAAGACCGAAAATCAAGATAAAATACAAGTGTCTGCAATATAAAATATTGCAGAAGCAAAGCAAAGCCTTATTATAATCATGTTGTAAATTATCATTGTAAGCCCATTACCTTAGGTGTAGTCAAAGCTATAAAAGCATTGAGGTTTCACTCTTGTAAACATTACTTTATATCCTACGGGATTCCAATATAATTCATATAAAACATTGAATAAATCACCTTGATAAATCTTTGAAAATCAATTTATTGTCAAATCACCAACGTCACGCCTCTGGCGAGTTGCCTTATCACCTAAAATTGTTTATTTTCGTGTAAACCCTATAAAAAGGATACAATTCACCCGTAACAATATAAAAGTCAAATTTACCAAGTTTATCGATATTTTAATGAAATTTACATCTTAAGTAAAGTTTTTCTTCTGAACAACTTTACTGAGGTCATTGTTATTTTTGTAATTTAAATATAATATATTAAGACTTCAGGTGTTTTAGGATTTAACCAATCCTAAAATACCCGAAGTGACACAAAACCTTAATGATCTCAGGATCTTAGCACTTTTAAATATAACCAAATTACAATGTGACAAATGACAATGTCACAGTGTCATTTATGTCATTTAAAAGTCATTTGCCAACCCTGGCGTAATTACTATCTGACCAATAAATTACTTCACATATAAATGACCTGTCATTTAAATTTTGGTAAATAACCAGGTTTCACCATCCTTACTATTGCAGTATTGCTCCATCTATAGTGTCCTTCAGACAATAATAGAATGTGTAATTTTAAGTATATATTTTTATAAGGTTTAAAGCATATACATTTTTATTGACGGGTCTTATGTAACAACCCGTGCTTTTTCATTTACTTATTGGCACGGGATTGTACGTCAGACACCGTGCAATAACTATAACTTATTCATTAATCCTCGTGATCTTGGCATAGTGATCGGGGGATTAGTGTTTTAAACTTTGTTCTTGGTTTTGACAACCACGTTGCGCAGTTACCTTATTAATAATAAAGTAATTATATTTTTAAAAAGTTTATTATTATTTGTAGAGTAATTTAATTCCAATAGTAAACGTGAACTTGTATTTATTTAGCTAGTCGCTTATTATCGATCGTTAAGGTGCTTGTGCACGTGATCGAGATAATCGAGATCGAACTAAATGAATCAGATCACAATTGCGTAGTGATGTAATCGATTTTTTAAGGAGCCAAGAGTGATTAAGTAATATGGAGGTAATTCGAAAGTATCGTAGCGCAAGAAATAAACCGATGCATTATAACAATAAACTTTATTGTTCGATAATTTGAGAAATCGATTTCTAATATTTATCATTAAGATATCGAGCCCTTATTAATGCGACAATACATCCTTTAAATGCATTCTTTCTTCTATATAGTCTACTGTTCTAAACCCTATCATTACAATGTTGTGAAACAACATTGTGCACGGGTTATAAGCAGCCCGTGCTGGAAAATCCATCCATGATTGGGTGTACATCAGTCTAATTACAAATATAGTGCAGGTCATTTAGTTCAACGATAATTTAATAGTAAAAACATAGAAAGTTCAAGCAGCATAATTCATGAACCAGCAAACCCACGCAATTTTAATTATAATTATTAGGTTCGTTATAATGTGCTCTTTAATGTGACAACGCTCTTTTTTTTTATTTTACTTTTATTGTCTAGAGCGTAGCAGGGGAATAATGTAATACCAAAATTCTCGTTTTTGATTTATTATTAATAAAAATATCAAAAATGTAACTTGAATTTTTGTGGATATTGTACACAATATGCAATAGCTGCGTTTTTGATATTTTTATTAATAATAAATCAAAACCGAGAATTTTGGTATTATATTATTTCCCCGCCACGTTCTAGACAATAAAAATAAAACAAAGAGTGTTGCCACATTAAAGAGCACATTATAACGAACCCGGCAAATATAATCTTATTTGTGTGGGTTTGCTGGTTCAAGAGCTATTACAGCTTAAGCCTTCTATGTTTTTACTATTAAATTATCGTTGATCTACAGTACATTATATTATATGACCTGCACCATATTTGGGGGACGTCTAAAGCGGAGTAGTTTCTTATAATATATATTTTATCGAATTAACTTTAGAATTATGGTCATCTTGGATTAGGGTTTGAGCAGGTTTTAGATAGTTATATATAAGCAAGTCTGCATTCCCGACATTTTTACTTAACTTACCCAAGGAAGGTTTAGACTACTATTTTTTGTATTTTCAAGTTTTTCGTTTTTTTTTCTTGTTTTGCTTCGTCGGCGATCATCAAAATTCTATAATTTGATTGGTCCTATATCACGTGATTATGCTCCGCTTTAGACGACCCCTAAAAATGGTAAGTGGCTGTTTAAATAGAAAAAGACAAGAAATGCTTAAATTAGATATTTAATTACATCGATATTTCAAAACTTGTATAAATTCAGTATGTGTCACGAATGGGGTGCATATTTATTCACATGCATAGTCATTTATACGTACTAAATTTACCATAAATGGTATTACTTTCTTTAATTTATTATCTTTATTTATGGCAGATCATCGCCACATATTATTATCGAGCAAACATTACATTTTCTTGCATAGCGATAATAATTCCCATTACCTCATATATACGTACATAGTATATTTCCCCATAGTTTCTCCACCTCATTTTGAATTGGATCATTTTATAAATATCCTAATGCTTACGACTTACGGCTAAATTCTGCAAGATCATAAGTTTCTCACCAAGCTACGTACATATGCACGCATTTACTAAGTATAGACGCCGTCGTAATTCAAATAAAGAAATTTTAACAATGAAAATGATAAATAATCGTATTTAAATTTTTCCTTTTTTGAATACGACGGCATTTTCGGTAGATAGTTTTTTGCTAATGTGTAATATTTATTCTTTGGGACGGTGAATGTTATGGGCGCTTTACGCCGCATGCAGTTTCATATAGCGTCATGCCAAGTACTTGTATTACTATCTTCTTTGCATTTTTGAAATTCTTGGGAAATAACACGCAAAGTCCGAGAAGATAGATAATAAGATAAAAAATTGGGATTATTGCTAATAACTCGTAAATTCCCGTCATGAGATCATAATGAGATAATTACGTATTAATAAAATATTTTTAGCCTGCCAATCAATTAAAAATTTTTTTAAAATTTTCAGATCCGAATAATTATTAAATAAATTCTTACTGATGAAGCTAGACAACGCCACCCCGTCAATAAAAATATAAATATAAATTCATCACCGGCTTGCCTATAAAAACACAGCATAATTTCCTGAGACATTAAAAACTCCAGAAAAGAAAACTACACGAATCTTAAAAAATCTAAAAATTTAATAATCTTACCAATGGCATCAAAATACCTTACTCTTCTTACCATTTTGGTTTTGTTCTTGTCTGCTCTCGGTTCATTTGCAGAACCTATAAAGCGTCAAGATAATAATAATTGTGTGACTACTTCCACAACAAGTTTCACTTATACAGCAACTCCTACAGCTGGCTGCACTGTAGTTGCCATGGCACCCACTGTTACAGCTGTCATTTGCGGCAATTGCAATTCTTCAGGTCCAGGAGGTCCAGGAGGTCCAAGTAGAAGATCTGAAGGCTTCAACTTCTTTGGTTTTTAAAAAATCATTTTAAAATTGTACAGTTAATTTGGTTCATGTAATTTGTATGATCAATAATTCATATATTATATTTGGAGGATAAAAATATTTGGAATTTAATTCAAAAAAATGGTAATTGTTCCTTATAGTAAAAATTAATATTTATCTTTGATGCATTATTAGTTACAAGAAGTGCGTTAATTCAATAATAAGCAAATATTTTTATTTTTTTTAAATCCAAGTTGTGATAATAACATGTTGTTATAATTAAATTAGTTCTTGATAATTTAGTTATCTTTATTTGACACAACTTTTAGTTTCATAAAAATGTTTTAATAAAAGCTCAATGTATTTATTTAGTTTACTTATATAGTATATATATAGTAATAAAAGTACGAGCATCTATATATTACCATTTTAATTTTATTTAATTTGTTAGTTTTATATTGATCCGTATCATTTCACTGACAATTATCAAATTTCGTAGATCACACAGTACTGGAAATCCGGAAATCGGTAATTTACCCAAATTTTTTTAACTTTGAGCGTAGGTATCTCGACAAGCAACAGGCTAAATTCAATGAACTTTTTTTTATTTGAATTCAACGGATTCGTAGAATTTAAATAAAAAAAAGTTCATTAAATTTGTCTGGTGGTTGTCGAGGTACCTTCGCTCAAAATTAAAGAAATTCAACGGAATTTTTCTCGAACTTTGAGCGAATATATTTGACATCCATCAACCCAATTTTGATAAACTTTTTTTTTTTATTTAATTATATATCTATAGAATTCAAATAAAAAAAAAAAATCATCAAAATTTGATTGATGGTTGTCGATATATTCGCTCAAAGTTTGAGAAAAATTTCAGCGTAGTTTATATTTGATAGACGGGGGTTTTTAAAACGATGATGATAACTACCAATTAAAAAATAATTATTGAATTTGGTTTAGTATTTGACTAGATATCTTCAAAGTTTGAGAAAATTTTGACGCAGCTTCTATTTTGATAGACGGTTTGAGTTTTTAAAACTTTGAGCGAAGATATCTTGACAAACACCAAGCCAAATTCGGCCACCTTTTTTTTTATTTGAATTCTACAGATTTGTAAAATTCAAATAAAAAAAAATCCATCGAATCTGACTTGGTGGTTATCGAGATATCTTTGCACAAGTTTGAGAAAATTTTAGAATTTTTAAAAACTTTGAGCGAAGATATCTCGACAACCACCAAGTCAGATTTTGATGAATTATTTTTTTAGTTGAATTTACAATTCTGTAGAATTCAAATAAAAAAAGATGACTGAATTTGGCTTGGCATTTGTCAAGATATCCTCGCTCAAAGTCTGAGCGTTTGATAGACGTTGAGTTTTTTAAAACTTTGCGTGAAGATATCTTGACAACCATCAAGTCAAATTTGATAAAAATTTTGTTATTTGATTTTAAAGATTCGTAGAATTCAAAAAAATTAAGACTTTATTGAATTTGACTTGATGTTTGTCGAGATATCTTCGTTCAAAGTTTGAGAAAATTTGACGCAGCTTTTATTTTGAGAATTTTTTAAAACTTTGAACGAAGATATCTCGACAACCACATTTGATATACTTTTTTCTTTATTTGAATTCTACTGATTTGTAGAATTTAAATAAGAAAACCTCATCAAATTTGACTTGGTGGTTGTCAAGATAAGATATCTTCGTTTAAAGTTTTAAAAAAAATTAAGAAATATGATTTAAAAAAAGCTTAAATTTTCCATTTTATTTAGCTACACAAACAATTAGCTCTTTTATATTACTTGTTAAAGTATTGAAAAAGCGAAATAGAAGAGTAACTTTGGGAATTTTGTTTGTTAACAAGAACTTTAGATTTATTTGCAAAAAAAAGTCTTAGATTTAGGAAATTTCGATGATCAATTCGCAGACAAGTTTATTTCGCCAACTGCTTATTCTATTTCATCGATAGCTCATTTCACAAAAAAGATTTATTTTCTTATAATTGTACTAACCTGAGCCAGGGACGATGATTTACTGCAATCATAAAAAACAGCAGAATTCTCCTTAAAAACAGCTAACCACAGAATCACTTTTAGTCACCACAGAATATCACAGAATTCTAAAAAAAATAGCGTAGAATATCACAGAATTTTAAGATATCGCGTTAATTCAGGTTGCCACCACTGGAAAGCTAGACAATATATCAACACAAATTACGAGCACGCTTGTCGGGGAGTTGCGAAATTACGATTTGGAAAAAAATTTTAAAAAATTGTCGCATTTAAGTTGCAGAAATTACAAAATGATATCACAGAATTTCACAGAAATTGGTAAAATTTTAAAAATTTACCACATTAAATCATAGAATTTGTCTTAACCACACGCAGAATTTAGTCTTAACCAAAACAGAAAATCATCGTCCCTTAGTTCTAAACCAATTCTGGTGACAATGAATAAAATTTTGCCTACGAAATGAGCTGTAAAATAAACTTGTCTGTGAATTTATTGTCTGTAAAATAAATTTCTTGTGAACTAATTGTCGGTGAAATAAGGTGTCTATAAAGTGATTATCTTCGAAATGAGCAGCATTGGATATTATATTATCCGCTATATTTTTATTTTTTTTTCTAAAACAAAGCAAAGAAAATTGACAATAGACAACAAATTTTTTTTTAAATAAATTTAGCAAATATATGGCTTGGTGCCGGGAAAGAGATGAATTTGACAAAAAAAATAATATACTGTATACAAAAAATTAATTATCTCACGTACTATTGATCAGAGTTATATTTATTTTGATACAATTCGATTTGTCTCATTAGGATGAATCGAATGGTACCATGGCATGAGATAATTAATTATTGTACATATTAACATTTTGTCAAATTTGTTTCCTTCATGGAACAAAGTTCACATATATATTTAAAAAACTATAAATTTGGAATATAGATCTAGTATTTTAGAGAACTAGTAAATTGGCAATGGAAACTCGTTTAGTTTGTTGATTTTTTATATGTAAGATTAGATACTGTGTTTTAGTTTAAATTTTGACCAAAGATAACATATTTGATTAAAAATTTTATTTGAATTTATAGATTTGCAAAATTCAAATAAAAATTCTATCAAATTTGATTGGATAATTGTTAAAATACTTTTATTTAAATTTATAATTAAATTTATAAAAAATTTAAAGAACAGATATTTATACACCTTTTTAAAAATTTTGATTGATAATATCTCGACAACCATTGAACACTTTACAGAAACTTGCAAAAAGTTTATAATAAAGAAATAATATTTTAAAAAACGTTTTAAATAAAAACGGTTTTATGATATTTTTTCTCTTCGTAAAGGGCTTATAACTAGTAATTGTAATGTCATGATAATGTGTTTTTGCAAAAAAAAAATTTTTTTGAAATTTTTTATTTTCAAAAACACATCATTATGACATTACAAATACTAGTTATAGGCTCTTTATGAAGAGAAAAAAAATATCATAAAACCGTTTTTATTTAAACCATTTTTTAAAATATTATTTCTTTATTATAAACTTTTTTGCAAGTTTCTGTGAAGTAATCCGATGAACTTTTTTAATTTGAATCCAAAAATTCGTAAAATATGAATAAAAATTTTTATCAATTTGGTTTGGTAGTTGTTGAGATACCTTTGATCAAAGCCAAAGAAAATTTATTAAAACTATATTTAACTTTTCTTCAAAAACTTTATTGATGGTATCTTAACATCTACCTAACAATTTGATAAACTTTTTTATTTGAATTCTTCAAATTTCATCGAAATTGATTAGATAGTTGGCAGGAACCGTTGATCAAATTTAAAAAATTTTATATTATTTAATGGATGTTTAACTTTTTTTAAAACTTGATCAATAATATCTCAACAACTACCTAACCAAATTTGATGATTTTTTTAAATAAATATTTTACAAATAAAAAAAATTCTTACCAAATTTAGTTAAGTCATCGTTAAGATGCCTTTGGTTAAAGTAAAAAATTTTTGCTATGGTTATTATTTTGATATATGGTTAACTTTTTTTAAAACTTTGATCAGTGATATCTCAACTATCAGGAAAATTAAATAAGTTAATCTGCAAAAATGCAGATTTTTGCTGAATTTTTGCAAAAACTGCAAATTTTTCATAATTTGAATTTTGCGCAGAATTTTATTTAATTTCTTATAGCTGCTGAGCCTGAAACACAGATTTTCATTTAATTTTTTGCAAATCTGCACAGGACTGCACTAAAAAAGTTATCCTGATGCTTACTTCACCTAATCATATTTGATGAATATATTTTTTATTTAATTTACAAATTTGTAAAATTCAAATAAAAAAATTTATCTAATTTGATTGGTAGTTGTCAAAATATTGTTGATTAAAGTTTTAAAAAAGTAATTTACATTTGTATGAAGATTTTTATTTTCAAAAATTTAATCTAATTTTTATATTACAGTAATATTTTTTTAAAAAAATTTTAAATAAATATTTGGACCTTAACAATTATTTATTTAAAGTATATAAATTCATAAAATTTAAATAAATAATTTTATTATATTTATTAATAAATAATACTAAAATATTTATTTAAAAATTGTAATTTTTATTTAATAGATAGTGTTTAATTAAATTTATTAAAAAATTTTTGATTTAAACTTTGTAGATTTAGAAATTAAATAAAAGATTATTAAATTTATTTAAAATATTTAAATTTTAGAATAAAAATCAATAAAAACTTTAATTGAATTTAATTAAAATTCTTTATTTATATTTATAAAAGTAATTTGGAATCTTAGCTATCAAAATGACCCTCCGAGGCTATGTTGAATAAAAATTAAATTTGCCAAGCATCTAATTATCCAATTTGAATGAAATTTTCTTTATTCGTAGATTCTATTTAGATTTACAAAATAAAAAAAAGTTTATTCAAATTGGAATACTAGATAGCTGGCAAATTTAATTTTTATTCACAAAATAAACATAGCCTCGGAGGGTCATTTTAATAGCAAAGATCCCATTTAACATAATGTAAAAAATTTATTAATATATACATAAAAAATTAGTAAGCAAAGTACTAATTTTTTTATAATAAATTAGTGTTATTTATAAATATTATTTATTCCCCGGGCCGGTGGAAATAAAGATGTTATTCTCTCGTTTTATTAATTGACGTCCGGAGACTGAGTTTTAATTAAGTTGTGCGCAAGAATAACAGTAAAAAACTGGAACCTACAATTAGCAAAACTTGGAATAACACAATATTATTATCATAAAACTAAACCTTATTCTTTTTATTTAAATTTATAAATTTATAAAATTTATATATAAGTTTATAAAAATTTTTAAATAACCAACCTTACAACGACTCATTTTGACTAACGATTTTTCAAATGGTGTGAATATGTGAAGGTTATTATATATGGGTTATGTTATAGGCATAATGAAAAAAAAAGATATAAATATTACTTTTCGTAATGAGTATAAAACTTTAATTGAATGCTGCAGTAAAAGAAAAAGAAATATTAACCATTGTTATGCCATTATCTTTCTCTTCACAATATGAAATAATTGAAATGGTTGTCTAATTAATGATTTAAAAAAAATATAATCAACTTATACATAAAGTCTTGATAAATAATATAGTTTGATGTAGAAATTAGGTGTCAGACTGATACTTGAGTAATGCTAAGAGAAAAAAACCTGTAAGTCATGCTTATTTGAATTTTTACTTTTAATAAAAAATACAAGTAATTGAACGCTTAAGATTTTAATATTATTCGAATCATCAATATTGAAATAATAAGTGCTTAGTTACCTGATATGAAGATAATTTATTAAAAAAAGTAAATATTCAAAAGGCATGACTTACAGATTTCCTTTGGTAGCACTATTTCACACACCATTTTAAACTTTTTTATCATACTTAAATTCAATGTCAGCAAAATTATAAAATCTATTATAGAATCCGTTGCATGTTGTCTTGAATGACTTATTTAAAACCGGTACAGTAATAAAGGTATGGAAATCTCTTTACAACCCTGAATAATTTCGTAAAACCCAACAATATTTGGGTACGTAAAAACTTTCTGTAAGATCTTGACCTACATATATATATTTTTTATCGTATTTTTTATGTGTGCTGCAAATAAAACATGAAAACGAATAAAACTTTCATCACGTCGGACTTATTCAGAAAAAAAATTGACATTGCATTTGCATTATTTAATCACATGCACAATAGGCGTTTTAATCTTTTCAGGAACAAAATGCATATAACATAGCGTGAATTAACCAACAAACAAAAAAAAAACTTGTTCACGTTATTATCATATTTATCTATTAGGATGAGAGTTAGCATTTGGAGCAAAGGAAACATACATTTATTAAACAATTAGAAACTAACGTTATAAATCCGATGTTTTTCATTATTATTTGTTAATGATAATATATATATTTTTTATCTAACTTCTATCGCCATAATTATGCTAACTAAAGTGGTCCAAGAAACAATAACCGACTAGCATTAAAATTTTTAAATTCCCCTTAGTACGGTAAAGAATGCTGTATGTGAAATTAAGATAGTATATTTGAAAGAACTTCAATTAAAAAAAAAAAGATTTACCCAGTCTATTATATCTATGGTTTTAAAGTTAGTTTGTCAGAACTTAAGACTTAGTGATGATTAATTTTTTTTTTTCAATTCTAGACTGGTCTTAAGACTAACTGTAATTCATTAGCTAAGACCGGACTATATTACGTCCTAATCCTAACACAAAAAAAAAAAAAGAACCATTATCCAAACTTTAACCTTTAAAGTTTTGAATTATAAAATCTCAATTTTTAGGATCAAGTCCCAATACGATTAAACTTAAACTTTGCAATGCTTTTTTTAATATTTGCCTGATATCAACAACTAATTTTCACTTTGATCTTTATGCCACACCATATTCTTTTATCCAAATTTTCAAAGTGTAAATTCTTCTATTCGTATAAGAGTAAATAAATATTTTATATAGCGCTTTCAAACATATTTTTTATTTTTCATAATTCAAAATAAATAATTTTATGTTAAAAGAAGTTTAAATAAGTGGATAGAGCAGGAATCAAAATTTACATGATTCATGTTAACAAAAAAAAATACAAGTTTTAGAACGAGCCAAATCGAAAGATTAATATTAGCGTTGATTTAAAGCATCACTATGGATAGACTTCTTACAGTAAAATTTTATGCAATGTAAATAGATACGTAATATAGGCTTATCATTGCGGTTCGAAGTGGCACATCACTAGTTATGACATATATTTAAATTTCTGTTTTTGCTTCATATTGCCGCACAAATTATTGCTTGTAGCTTATTTCTATCTAAAAATATTACTGCAACTAGTTTCTATGTCATGTATAAATCATACATTATTATTATTTTTTTAAATAACGACCATATTTAATTAATTTCTATTTGCTAATAAACAACTCTTTAATTTTCAGCATTCTAAAAATATTCTAGTTCACGATGAAAAAATGTTAATTGCTGATTTTGGCTTATCAAAAGACGAGAGATCAAGAACCTCAAATTCTGAAGTCCACGGAGTGACAGCATACATTGATCCTAAATGTTTCGGAGACGAACCATATAAACGTAACAAAAAATCCGACATTTATAGTTTTGGAGTAATCCTTTGGGAAATTTCAAGTGGCAGACCACCATTCCAATCAGTTAAAATCAGCGCACGCAACCAATGGTTGGCCGTTCAAATATTCAAAGGAAAAAGAGAAGAACCTGTTGAAGATACAACAGACCAATACATTCAACTTTATAAAAGGTGTTGGGATTATAATCCGACCCTGCGTCCAACGATAGAAGAAATTTCAGAAACCCTTTCTGATATGTTTAATCAACAAACTACGCACTTAGCGATAAATTATTCGAAAATACCGGACTTTTCTGTAAATTCGAGTGAGCACTTAAAAACATATTTATAAGATATTGTATACCAAGGTTGAAAATTATTAATTAGTAAACTTTTACTCATACATATTTTTATTTAGACAATAAAGATAAATCGAATGATGATATATGTCCAAAAGATGGTAGGACTAGCGATTTAAGTAAAAGCGATGATGACATGCCTAAAACCTCAAGTACGATACAACCATTTATTAATTTAAATAATGGAGTAATACAAATTCCAACAAAACTTATAGATGAATCATGGAGCTTCTTTATGACTTATTTTCTTAACACAGGGTATTTCAACCACGTGATGTGGCAGGATATGAGCGATTTTGGGGATTTGGTCAAATTTTAGTTAATTTATCATGTGATTTATATCACATTTCATTTTTTTTTTTACCGTCACTAAAAAAAGTTCCCACGTTATGGTTACCCCATAATCGTATACAAACAAAAATATTATACAAACAAAAATATTATACAAACAATCGAATTGTGACAAGTCTGATATACACAAATATTAAATACCGATTAAGCCTTAAAAATGCACAATACTTTGAAATACACGTAATCAAATAAATATTAATCGTAGAAGCATCACAACATAAAGTTAAAGCCTGAAATTATTCACACACAATATGTGTAAAAGTACATCCTTAGTTGGATTATGAATAATTGCAAACAAGTCTTTAGTAACCAATCCAAAGATTTTTTGATAACATATAATCAAATTCAATGAATTTTTTATTTGATTTCTATGATATAAAATTTAGTGATTGGACCCGCGTGGGCGGGTGATCCGGGTTGAGTTTTGGCAACCAAGGTGGAAGCAGGTACATGTCACTCTCGATATAACGGAGACTAAGTAAAATCTTAATATAATGGATCAAGATTCAGATCCACATCATAATAAATACTATTTGATATAATGGATTTACTAATAAAACTCACAATAAAGCGGATTTTAATAAATTCCTCACTATGTGCACGAGGTACTACGTTATATCGAAAGTGACGTGCACTCATCTGTAAATTAATTGTTTATGAACTAAGCTGTCTATGTAATGATTGTTAGTGAAATAGTACGGACCCAAATAGATTAAATGGTAGTGTATCGTTTAGTTTTAATATTTATAGGTTGTTAAAGAGATTAATATGTTTGCTCTTTGTTTCAGATTTATTTAATAAATGTTCTTTATAATAATATAACATGTTAAATTTGTAATATAGATATATATGACCTTATATAATACAGCAATGTGAATAGTTTATTTTAATATTCAGCTTAACAAAATTTTTTCTTTATACTCAATCTAAAAGAAATTAAATAGTAAATAACTTGAATAGTTCATTTAAATATTTAGATGAATATATTTATTAAGTGCTCTTTATGCTCATTAAGTAAAAATAAAACAATATTCGTGAACTTTCTTATCTCAAATAATTAATATTTCTTATACCCATTCTAAATTAGATCTGAACGTGCAACACAACACAAGCTCTAACTCTAGCTCAATATAAAAATGGTTGAACAAACAACTTCCTTTTTGGATAAAATGGGCAAAATGGCGGCTCACGAGGCGACACTAAAAGAATACATGACAAATCAAAATAATAAGTTCACGACCAAGCCAAACAAATTCAGAAATAACCCGAAGATAAATATCAAACAAAATTATATAGGCGTTAATTAAATAATATATAAATTTTATCTATTCGTGTAATATGTATGTTTTTATATAGCATTTTTTTTATAATTTAATTAAATAAATGGTTTATGTTAAAAGTTCAAATATGTGGATAGAACAGAACAGGAATTAAATTTTTGTGATTTACGTCGACAACAAAAAATAAAATAAATAAAATAAAATAAAAATTTTAAAAATAATTGTCGCGGCTGAAGCTTGAAACGGCTGAAGCTTGAAACGGCTGAAGCTTGAAATCAGGGACCTCGATTTAAAAATATAAACCCTACACAAATCCACTTATACTCTTTTATTATAAAAACTAACTCTAAACCCTAACCTAACCCTAAAAAAAAACCCCCTAACAAAAGGCCCCAAAAATTTCTAAAAATTTGATATTAAAATAATTCAAATTTCAAGCATCAGCCGTTTCAAGCTTCAGCCGCGACAATAATTATTAATTGTTAATAACTTCGATCATCGTTAATAATATCGATATGATGAATTAAATAAACTACTAACGGATTTAATAAAAGTTTAGTCCGCCAATATCTCGGCAATTTTTGAGAACATATTGACACAAGTTTTCGTTTTTTATACATCTTGTACTGATTAGCTGCGGCATATATTATTAAATCGTTATTAATTATTAATAATTAAAAAGGTCCCATCACTAGATGGACTCTTACAATAAAATTTTATGTCAGGTTTATTGAATCAAAGTTTTTTGAAATTTTTTATTGTGTCCATGAATTTGTGACCTTGAATTTTAGTATGACGAACTACAGCAAATTTTTTTCTTTTTTTCTATTGCTTATAATTTTACATATAGATAATATTTCTATACTGTTGTAGTTATATAATTATTTAAAGTTTTTTTTGTTTCAATACAATTAAAATTTATTCGTAATATAAAAAATCGCATTTCAGAATATGGAATGGCTCGAAGATTCTATTAATAGAGGGGGGATTAAATGTTATGACTATACTGAATTTTCTGATCCTAAAGAAATTGGTAAAGGAGGATTCGGGTTGTGTATAAATCAGAATGGAAAAATCGAGGATTAACCATTGCACTTAAAAAATTGAACAATATACCTTCGAACGAAGAGAAGACTACGCAAGAATTAATTAAGGAGGTAAAAGATGATATTATTAATTATAACAATAGAGCATAAATATTAAAATAATCTAATAAATACAGATCATTATATTTATTCAGCTTAAGCACTTACAAAAAGTTTACAACCATCAAAATGTTATTGAATATTACGGAGTTACTCAAGGTTAGTAAATAATAATGAAATAAACTACCTGCTTACACATTAAATTAATAATTTAATATACTCAATTATAGATATTTCAATATAATTTTACAATTCGCAAATGACGGAGATTTACGCGAATATTTAAAAACTAGTAATAAAACGGCGACGTTTTATAGGGCTGGAGCCTTATGTATTAGGTTCTAAATTTTTTAAAAAAATTGTAAAATTAATATTGTAGCTTATCTAATATCACCAAGCTAATATATCGATACGATAAAAATTTAATTCATTAATGTGAGCTGCACATCTTATAAGTTTATATTAATGCGCATGCGAATAGACATAGATA